AGATGAACAATCTTCACAAATCGGCTCAGAACAAGTATCGCAATAATTGCAAACCTCAGTGGTCAGTATTTTCTTTCTACAGGTTCGACAATTACCAATAAGTTGAGCACTTGCTGAAGGTGATTGAGCTGTTGGTGAACTAATTGTGAGTCCATCTTTCTTGTCACTTGAATTAGTTTTCATTTGCCTTAGTTATCCATAGTTATGGTCAAGCAGAGCAAAAAAAAGAAAGCAAGTAAAAGTAAACATGAAGGACAAAATAATATTTGAAGAAATAGACAGAGAGAGAGAGAGAGAAAATCCAAGTAAAGATAAAATAAAAAAGAGTTCAGTTCAATTCAATTTACAAACAGAAAATAAAATCAGCAGTTATCACAAAAGAAAAGCAATATTATATTAATAACAAACAATCAAGTTGTATGAGAGATGTTGAGAGAGTTCGGGAGGGGTGGCCAGTAGAAAATTAAATTTAGGTTAGGTTTCCATTGTTAGAAGTGACCAAACATAAGATTCAGTTGAAGTTGGTCAAGTTGTTTGGTCAAGTTTGTTGCGAGGATTTAAGTTATTATTACCATTGTTATTGTATTTGATTGATAATATTAGTGATGAACAAAAATTGGGGAAGAAGAGAAAATTATAAATCAACAACATGGTTATTGTTAAATAGTGAATCAGTGAGGTGGTCAATAGGTTGACCAGGTAGTGGAAAATAAGAGGAAGAGGAAAAGAGGGAGAGAGATAAAGTAGAAATCATTATATTGAACATAGTAGATTTAATGAGATGGTAACAGAATTTTCCATCAGAGTTTATGATCCATTGTCATCAGTAATTTTCCACCATCATCATCAAGTGATTATAATGATCCAGTGATAGTTTGATAATAATTTTTCCACAATTGATTATCATGATGACGATAATTAAAGGTGTCACATGGAATTGTGGATGTGTTAAATTTTAGAGAGAGAGAGAGAGAGAGAGAGAGAAAATATTGATCAGAACTTTTTATTCTGTATCAGAATCGATGAATAGTAGAGCAGAAAAGTAAACAATTTCGAAACTTTTTCGTATTTTCCTCATTCTTTTAGAACTTTTATTTAAATTTCTCTTTCCCTGTTTTTTTTGGTCGAATTTACCTAATCGTCATGATTACTGAAGAGTTAATTAACCATTCATCATGATTAATTGATAATTAGAATTAAAATTATGTTAATTAGTTTGATTTTAATAATTATCTTTTTTTTCCCTCTTCAATTCTTTCCATTCAAAATTCGAGAAAAATTTTACATTACAAAAAGAGAGAAGAGAGAAAGAGAAAAACTTTTTTTACTTTCCGAGTTTCGATTGAATTAGTGTGCTGAACTTTTCTTGCTTTCATAGTGATAATTTGTCATCCTCATTAACATCATCATGTTTAACTGTTACAATATTTTTCTCTCCAAATTAGAACTTGAATCAATTTCCATTTGTCTAGAGATGCGAGTAGATTGAACATAGAGAGAGAGAGAGATCGAGTATATGATTTATTCAGATAATCATTAATATCGTATACATGGAGCATACAATTCATGATATTAGTTGGTTATTATGCTTAGTGTGTTCAGGGAATAAATTCACTCCCACTCAGTGAGTGTGTATATGTGTTTGTATAACTGAATAACCTCCTACTCATTTTGAAGAAATTGAAACAGAATTCAAATGAAAAAAAGAAGAAACTTTTTTTTCTATTACTTTTCTAACTCTTTATCCTCTTATTGATATTGATTATTAATTCAATCCGCATCCTCATCTTCAACTTATCCCTTTTAACTTGTTACTTTCATGAGTTCATATTGAAGATTGAGAGTAAGAGTAAGAGAGAGAGAAAGAGAGAGAGAGAGAGAAGATAGGAAAGAAAGAGGATGAGAAGCTGAGAGTAGGAACAGTAAAGATTATCTCCTGAAAGAAACTTTTGTTTCAATATATTGGATATTTTCCCGATTTCTGGTTGATTTTTTTTTTCGAAATAGAAAACTAATCAATCCAGAAAAACTTTATCATTTATCGTTTTTATCTTCAGGCTCATCTTTTATTTGCTTTCTCTTAGTAAGCTCTTCACACCAACAATATCACCACCATCATGAACACAGTAACAACCATTGAGACAAAAGTTGATTTTTAGATAGCACACAATTTGGTGTTTATTTTACCTTAAGAGATGCAGAAAAAAAGATGCTCAAGATGATAACGAAAAGATAAGCAGAGAGAGAGAGAACTGAAGGAAGATAGAATTTTTTGTATGCTCATTACCTCTCGCTCTCCCTTTTCCCCTATTGATCTTCCCTCTTCATGATTTTGGAATTTCATTAATAATTCTCATCTTAAGAACTCAGACTTTCGATATATCTTTCATTCATCTCTCTCTCTCTCTCTCTCTCTCTCTCTCTCACCTTGTAACTCCTATTCTCCAATCATTTATATTATATAAAGATAAACCTGAGTGAGTTTGATAATATCTCACATAGAAAAAAAGATGAAGATGAAAAGGTTTGATGCTAAGGAAGAGAACAGATCAATATTCAACCTTAATCTGATTTGATGCTTCACCAAATTTACTATTCTATCTACAACTTTATCTTCATCTTTAGCTTTACCTTCCCCATTTTCTTAAGAGTCTCCCCTGTATTCTAGATACAAGAAAAATAATACTCTACACATTTTCCACCCTCCACACTCAGCATAAACTCCTCGTTCCCCCTTCACTGTGTGTATCTATTCAATTCAATAATACTTGTGAATACTCTTTATATTTTTCTCCATGGAAAAGATTATGTTAGAACTAAATTTTCTTTTCTCCTTCTCTTTTTACCTTAGGTCAATGTTCATATGGATGAAAAAGTAAAATTTTCATCATATTCAGATTTAATTCATTCCTCATGAGCTCAGATTCCAGTTCAATATATATTTTATCATTTCCTCTTTCTCATTCGGAATTCTCTCCCTCTTACTCTTTCTCGAGAAAATAATAATAATAATATTTATTTTATGCTTAGAACTTGAAAATTTATGGAAAATAAAATGATTTCATGATGATGATTAGAATGAAATGAAATGAAATCAAATCAAAGAACTGATAAACTTTCAATCTTTTTTTCCATGAGTTTGAGTTGAGAAAAAAACTGAGAGAAAGAACAAAAAATAATAAGAAAACTGTTCGATTGATAATAATAGTTTTATTAATGTTGAATTTGATTCCTCATGATTTAATGTTATCATGAACTTTTATTTCTTGACTCACTCACTCACTCTCTCTCTCTTTCTCTATCAAAAAAAGCAAAAAACAGTTTCCATGAATCAACCAGGGGATACATGGATAGAATTTTGAAAAATGAATGAATGATACATCTAATGAAAAGATTGATTAATTGTATTGTATATTCAATGATGTTCATTAAGAAATTACTTATAATTCAACCATGATGATGATGACGGATAAAAGTTTCAAGTTTATTTTCATTTTTCTTTCCAAAAGTTTGATAATCATGATAATAGGAAATTCTTTGTTTTTTTCATCTTTCTCACTCTACTTTTCACTTGGATGATTATTCAACATATGGAACTAAATGAAATTAACTCATGAAATGTTTACCTTTTCGATGAAGCTTCTCGGTGAAACTCTTCCTCTTTTGGAAAACTTTTGTAATATGTTTTCCTCTTCCGTTAGGTGAGCGGTAAGTTGATCATTAGTAAGTGATGATTGGGATTTTAATTTTGGAAAAACGGAATTCTGATCATTTGGCCGACCATTTAATTGTACACTATTATTACGATGGCCACTTACACTTGAACGTCCACTGTTGGCACTTGTATTACCTCCTGGACCGAGTAGATTACTTGTTGACTGTGAATGAGATGAAAAATGAGGTGGTTCATTTTCACTGTTTCCATTTCCAGCTTTAAATCCTAACATTCTAGAGGCAACTTTATCACGAAGTTTATTAATTAAAGGTGAACTATCATCAGAATTGTGAAGTTTATTTAAGGTGGAAAGTGGATATGAATCATTGGACAGGGAGGATGATGATCTTCCTCTATCAGAACGATATCTTGATGAACTACGAAACGAGGAAGCACTTGATGGACGTTGTATCCTTGATGGACTATTATTGTACGATGAGACACCTGATGATGAAGTAGCATTTCGATTTCCCATAATTTTCCAGAATTTTGGTCTTTTCTCTCACTTTCTCGCTCTCTTTCTCTTAACCAAAATTGAGTTAAAATGATCAACTTATATTCTAGTTTCACTTTTTTCCCCTGTTTCTTAAAGAAATAAAGGTATAAAATTCAAGTTAGAGAAGAAAAAAGAACTTTTTTTATATAAAAAAGAAAAAACTTGAAAAGGGAAAAAAATATTCCTTCGAACTACCAAAAAAAAGAAACTAAATTGTTCTAATAGCTAAAAATGTACAACAGGTAATTCACTTTGCAACACTTGGTTTCCAACATTTTGCTAACAAATAAATGGCAAATTCATGGGTCACATGAATACTCTTGAGAAGCTCTGGATTCTGTCTGAAAAAATTTCGAAAACATCTTGGTGACACCTAGCGAACTCTCTTTGAGTTACAAGTTCGATTAGAATTATGAAACATTTCATATTATCAAGTTTATTAATATGTTGTTGCTCACATGTTGGATTTTATTGCTTGTTCACCAACACTCTCACCTACCTGTTCACCTCTGCATCTTGGATAATATCCAATGTTCCAAATGTTCTGCTTGGTGTTGCCATCTGGTGAAGCATTTATCAACTACTTCATTGATAACAGTTTTTCTTGTTTTTTCACACATTATTTCCCGATTAACACGATAGAGGGCTCGAACTTTCGAGTTTAACCTCAACAGCTCCTTTCATATGTTCAAGCGCTCTTTGTGATGTCCTCTCTCTCTCTCTCTCTCTCTCTCTCTCTCTTCTTTCTCTCTGTCTTTCCTTCTATTAGGGTAACAACCATTTCCAAATTTACCATCACAATGTTAATGTTATAAGTTCTACACGAAGAAGAAAAAAACTCATTCCAAGTTTTTTTTATCGAACTCTAGATCAGTTTAGCATCGAATTTAAAATTCCATGTTTATTAACAGATTAAAAGTTCATTTTAAACATAATGTGATTCTTAATAGTTAAATAAAGAAACTCAATAGATTTATCGACAATATACAAAAACAGCGAAAAAAAGATTCCAAAGATTAATCAGTTTGATTTTTTCTTTTCTCTTTTCAAGTTTAATCTCCATGTGATTCGTGTTCTAAGTGATACTTTATTACATACTCTCTCTCTCTCTCTCTCTCTCTCTCTCTCTCTCTCTCTCTCTCTCTTAAGTGTTTATCTGTGTTTGCGAAAAAAATAATTATATAACTAAAGGAGCGTTTTCTTCCCGTTAACATAACCACCATGTCCTCGTTTCACCAACAATTTACATGGAAAGTTTTAACTGTCTACCTTTTCCTTTGTGTAAATGTTTCACTTTGCCTCGAGATTGATTGTAATCGTACTTATACCGGAACAATTGGTACAAAGTACCCTCTTTATCTTAAAGAGCCCATTCAAAAGTTTGCCGCTTTCAACTGTCAGGTTACATTTTCAGCACTTGGGTCAACTCATGGAGATATTATTGAACTTTCAATTCTTTCATTTCAAGTTGGCTATTTTCCAGTAACGAAGTAAGTTCACTTTGTAAATAATGATTTCTTTTTTTCCTTCACGATACGAACTCAGTGGGATTTATGAATTTTCATTACTTCATGATTGCTACAATCAGCAACTGATTGGTCACTTTGATAAATTTCTTGGATTCCTTTTCTCTTTGATTTGGATAATAATACTCTTATCATCTAAATCATCATCATTATTAACTAGCGAGGCTTTTATCATCATGAAATAATCAGAAAATGAGGGTTAATATTTTCATTCTGTAATCAATCAAGTCTCTACTCTCTCTCGCTCTCTTTCTCTATCATTTATGTAATATTATGGATATTGTAACTTTTACTTTAGTTTATCATCATTATTAATGTTTGACAGACTTTCGATTCCAATGAATTCAACAGATTCATGGTGATGATAATGAACACATGATAACAGATGATGAGAATCATATTCTGATATCATAAGGATAACAAGATGTAATGTCAAAGAAAAGAAGAAGAGAAAAGAAAAGCAAAAAAGCAAAGAGTTGTCATAATCTTCATTTATCACTAATATCACATGGAAATTAATCAAGAGCTTTAGATTATCATGATAATAAACATGATGATGACCAGTCGATGGGTAAAAAAAAAGAAAAGTGAACAAAAGAAAATTTCAAGCAAGTTCATGATGAAAATTCGATAACAAATGATAAGAAGATTTTAGATTATTTATCATCAAACAACTACAAGAATTTCAAGTTATCATATTTATTTCATGTTTCATTTATTTCTTGTTTTCTTTGCTTAGTATTTATAAGTTATGGTCACTTGAAGATGAAGATGATGATGATGATAAAGATAAGAGTTGGATTGGTCACTTTTCTTTTACACAATCGAAGAGAAATTGTCATACAGCTTATGATGAATGTTACTTATATTCCTTAATGTTTAGAATCTGTGTCGATATCAATTCATATCTATGGAAGTTCTGAGATATTGAGTTTGTGTGTCTCTTCATTCAGTTGAAAATTGTCAAACTCTAAGCTCAAGTTCAAATTGAATAGAAACATAAATAAACAGAAAGTTCATTGATAAAGATGAGTGAGAGAGAGAGAGAGAAATATACAATCCTTTTATTATCATTTATCTTTTCATTCTTCATGATAAATTCATCCGAGTAACGAAATCACTTTATTAAACTTAGAATGCGATGAAAGAATCATACACAAATGAATCGCAATGAGTTTCGAGCAAATGAAAAATTGAACTTTTCCAATCTAAGGAATTCAATTTTTCCTTCATAAAATTTCCTTCATCACTTTTTCAATCTTGAGCTTACTCATCTTACTCTAACCTATTCAATCACTTCAATAGTTACATGGAAAAAGAGAATAAAAGACAAAAAGGAAAATCAATTGACATGATAAGAAAATAGATTCTAAATGTAGATAAACAATCCAATTGAACTTTGAATTATTTATCCAACTTGTTCATCCAATGAATCAGAATCAATTGTTATTGTTTTTTTCCCACTTCTAAGATTATATTCACCTTGTTATCATGTTAGATTTTTTCACTAATCATGGAGAAAGCAAATAAACATCAACATCATGAGAAAAACAAGTAAGGTGATAAAATGATAATTTTCTCAATCTCATGTAATATTCAGATGAAATAAACAACAGAAATTCATGTAATTCAGTGATTATTATCAATTCTCTGACAAACAGAAAGTTAATGATATTTAATTTAATCATTCGATCATTAATTATAATGATAAATAAAACATCCCAATTACAATTGATATATCATAATATTAGCATTTGATATTGTCCTAATTTAATTAGTAAAATCATCTAATTATTATCAGTGTTCATTGAGAAAATTTTTAGCTTTTTGTTTGCTAATCACGAAAATGGTTAATTATTATTACGTCAATTAAATTTAATTGGTGAAACTTTTGTTGTCTTTTTTATTCTTCACACTTTTCTCTACAACAATTAGGCCTAGTAATTAAATTTAATTGTCTTATTCAACAGATTAAACTTAAATTTATCTTCTATTAAATCTTTATGATGTGATTAAGGAAAACTTTTGATGATAATAAACTTTAATGGCTACACAAAAATGACCAAATTACCGAGAGCAATCAATTGATTCATGGAAATTTAATTAATCGTTAAAAATTATTCCAAAATAATTACCTTCCTCTCTTAGTGAACATTATATTCATTTCACTAAAAAAAAGGAGACAGACAAATAGACAAAAGCATGGACAGTAAATGTCGAAAGAGAGAAAATAATATTTTCAAACTGTCTTTCAGTTTTAGAATAAAAAAACTATCATTACATTAGATAGATATAAATAACATTGACTTTAAATCTCAGTGGGATATCATCATGATGTTCATGGGATAATATTTATATATAGAGACTGAACTTTTGTTCAGGTTTGAAAGAGAGAGAGAGAGAGAGAGGCAGAGAGAGAGATAAATGAAGATAACAGAACCTCAAAAAAAGTTCAGTTCAGTAGTACGTTCATGTACACAAAGAAACCAGAGATGAAGTAAAAAATCAGCTAATATGATAAAAAGTACAAAAGGATAAACAGTAATATATTTCAACTCCCACACCACATTACCCACTCCCACCTCCTACTAAATCACCATTATCCTTCACGATGCCTCCCAGTATCCATTGTTTATCATCTCTCTCCATTTAGTTTTCTTTTATCATCACCAACCATTATCATTATTGTCATCAAATTCAATCGGCTAAAAGAGTAATAAAAAAAGACAGAATTGATAATTTCTGCTCTTTCCTGTATCTTGGTGAGGTTTTTTACTCCATCCACCCTGCCATAAGTTTCCTGTTATAAAGGTTTTAAATTTCATTTTTCAATTTCTAATTCAATGGTTAACACAATCAAATTTTGGATGACGATGATGATAATTTCTCTATCCCTCCCTCACTTATACCTATTATTTAATCTTTACACTCGGCAGTGGGTTTTAAATTTTACATATTTTCCTCCTTCAACCAAATCCATTTCCCATTCTCTCTCCTTAATATTATTTGTCATAATCTTTTACACGGTTATGATCATTATTTATTTTACCGTTTGTTTGATTTGTCGCACAATATTATTAATAATGTATGTATTCATGGAGAATTGCAATTAGTTTGTAAATACAGCATCATTCAAACCGCTCGAACCTTTAATGTTAGAAAAAAAGTTTCAATTTATCATTTCTCTAGGTTTCCGTTTCAGTGGGTGGGTAGTTGAATTGTTACAATTGTGATTTATATTAAATTTTGTGATAAATTTGATTCTAATATTTAATGTGAAACAAATTATCAAATGACAGACACACAAATTATCATAGTGATTGATTGATAAATTGGTTTAAAATTATATGTATTGAGTTAAATTTAAAGAGCTGATATTAATAAATATCAGTTTTATTTTCTTCAGGTAAAATTAGCTATTTGTTATCATGGCTTGTTAGTAGTTGGTCAGACACGATCAGGACCGATAGTCGATAGTAGCATAAAATGTATACCTCAAATATCAATGTCACTTCCACTCCACCCCATTTAAAATAGCGCACACGCATCATTTGACTCGGCTGTTTATTGTCTGGAAGTTTATTTGATATGCTTAAAACAGCTAATTTATAGTCTTTTATTTAAAAAATTACTACGTAAGACATACTTGTTACTTTAATCTTTAATGTGATTGGTTAAAACTTGTTTGTTTAATTTGAACATTTATAACATAAGATATTATCGTTATCCAAACAACTATCCGTTTTGCACAGAGCTATTCGGCTATTTTACCGATGATTTTTGCGATATTCTCAGTAACTAAGAGTTGAAGAGACTCGAGACTTGAGTGGTACAAGTTTGAGCGATATTCAATTTTCATATTGAAAGATCAAGGTCATTCAGGTCATTGTTTAAAGAGAGCGTTTCAAGGTCATCTGAAGGTAATTCAACAAAAAAGAATGTTCAGAGCTACTAATGGCAATTAAACTGTAAAATCTCAAGAACTGTGACAACAGGAATCTCTCAACTCATTTCCAAGGGCTGAAAATGTGCAGAATAGCACCTTCAGATGACCTTGAAACAATTTTCTTGGACTTCAACTTTCTGGGATGGAAGTGGCATTGATATTGAAGTTAAGATTTAATTTTATTCTAAGATATCAATACTGGACCAGCTTTATGGGTCAAATGTTTTTGGTGACTTTTTTAGCGCCAAAGCCAGCTCATTGTTCATCTGTCAAAGGTTAATCAGCTATTTTTCTTGACAGTCATTTGCTATGAGCCATAACAATGATGAAACAATAGCTTTATCCTCTTGCAACACTCTCTCTGGTATTGATTCAATAGTGTATCAATATTCATAGATCTTGAATTGTCATGACATTTAATATAATCTTTATTGTTGGATTAATCTCAATATCTTAAGTAGGAGTTTTTTTCTGATGATAATTCACTTCAACTTTGATGAAATTCTGAGTTTTTATGGGTCCAGTTATACTATCCAATCGGTAGATGGGGTTTAATGGTAGTTTTAAAGTTGATTGGAAGTTGGAAAGTGTTGGTGTATAAGTGAATCTGTCTTCATAATCGTGTAGAGGATCAAATTGATCCCTCTCAAAATTTTGAAATCGGATTAAATCTTCCAACATCATATCTCATTCTGTTTTTTTACTTCTCGATCTTCAATCATCATCATCATCATCTCTTCTTTTAATCCTCTCCTTTTATCTCCCTTGTTCCTCTGGTGTATGTTCATCATCATCATCGTGAGAAGAGATAGTTTTAGAATAGAAATATAAAATTGGAAACCTTTAGACTTTTAGAAATAGTAATGATGCTAAATGAAAGGTTTTCTTTTCACTCCCAATTTCCACTCTCTCATTCTCTCTGAAAGGAGGATAAAAAGATGAAGAAATGATGATGATGATGATGACCATGTATTAGAACCTAATCTGATTCTAATAAGCTCAATTCTAAGGACTAAGAAGCATAAAGGATAATATCTAACTATGAATTCTTTATACCATCATCATGAATAAGAAGATGAAGATATAAATATCTAAGCTTTATTATTGTTTCCTCATGATGAGAAAACTTTGAAATTCAAATGACTATCATAACGATATTGATTTTAACTTATGATGACCAATGGTCATGATTAAAATACAAAATCTAAATCATTGAATTACCATAAAGCAAGTAAAATGCTGTTGATTAAATAGCTAACCAACTTATAAAAGTAACTAATTAACTTACATGTATAATCACTAATCAATAGACTAATCAAGCTTTTCTGTTTGTTTTCTTGTTTTGTTTTACAATTATTTACTTAAATTTAATATATTTAACTAATTATTATCAACATGAAATCTCATTCAAACAAAATTAAAACAATAAAAAAGGATCATAAATTCAAAATGATGAATTATCTGTTCAAATTTTAACCTCCCTGTAAATGTATACCTTTAATAATATGCTAATTGTTTCAACTTCAATTATGTGTACACATTTGATTAACTGAAATGGAAAGACAAAGATGAAATTTCAAAAGTTCTGACGTATCATTGTAATAATTAAAATAATTATCATGGTAACATGATAATGAAATTGCCTCGGGGAGTTTTGAACAAACAAAAAATCATAATTCACAAAGTTTATTATTCAAATTATCTAACACTGTTATTATATTATTTAATTTTATTCATTTTCATGGTGATAATTAGTTGGTGACTCATTGATTTTCATGATATGATGACAATTTTCAACTTATATTACATATTTAAAAGTGAACTTTATTTTATTAGTAAACATTAAAGTTTTTTTTATTTCAATTTCAAAGAGTAATCAGAAAATAATTCAACGGTTTTCAATGGTAATCGGTTTATCCTGGTGTATCTAACACTCTGTTCATTATCACCATGAATAGTTTATGATTTTCAGGTACGGAAATCAGTTCTGAAATCATTGATAATGTTAGTATTATTATTATCAGCATCATCATCATGGTGAAAATGATTATATAAATAAAATCACATAACCATAATCATGAAGTATAATAGGAAATTCATTCCCACTGAGTTCATGTATCTGAATAAATATATACTTTTATTATCCATTATTGAGACTGAATTTTCATTCAGAATCATATAAATACAGAATTTTTCAATTCTTTTGTAAAGGTAAAAGAAAAAGTCTCTAATCACAGTTTATTTTCAATCTTCTCTTTTCAACTTACAGGGAGTTTCCAGTCTGCGAATATGGTTATGTAAGAATTCATGAGAAACAGATCAAGAAACCTGCCAATGTATCATCATCTTCATCTTCCCCACTTTCTGAAGCTTCATCATCACAACCATCATCATCATCATCTTCTTCTTCTTCTTCATCATTTTCCTCACAAGCGATACCTTCAGTTGCAGAGAACTCAAATGTTGGCAAATTTTGTGGACAACTAATGGTAACATTTCATGAGATTTTTCCACCCTCTCCTTGAATTCCCACTACTGTTCTTACTCATCATCATCACCAAATTTTCTATCGATATCAATAATACTCTGACTTCCCAGTTCTGTAACAATTTGTCAATGAAAGAGACAAATGTGAAAATATTTGCAAGCGAATACTTTCAACACATTTTTTCATTAATGAAAATTTTTCTCCTCAAAATATCTCAAACACTTTGCTATCTATTCACATCGGAATTCTTGAAATTGAAACAAAAGTATTATCATGATAAAGTTGTGAGACTTTCCCTTCAGCATCATCATCAATTATCGAGTGATAGACTTAGAGAACTCCAAGAGGAATGTTTCATTTTTATATAATCCATTCACATTTCTTCCAAATGGACAATCATTGTATCAGAGTCTCATTCTCACCAACTTGCAAAAATGGAGAGAGAAAAATGCAACTACTATCATTTACTTTCGATTCTTTTCATTGTCATGTTCAACATTCATTACAAAAGAAGTTCAAAGTAAAATAGAACAATTTTTTTCTCTCTTTTCTAATATCTGTTGCTTCATCTTCACCATAGTCTCTTATGTCCATTTGATTTCTCTCACCATAACAGCTTATTAGTTTATTCAGTTCATTTCGAAAGATTTTCCACCCATAAGGTTATCACTGTGTGTGAGATTATTACAATCCACTCAGTTGTCAAACTTTATCCACAGAAAATATTTACAGTTAATCCTTGTCCGTTTACCGAAAAAGGGTTGAAGGTATATCATGTCTTGAGATTGATTAATCAACATTTGCTAATCCAATTTGAAAGAAACTGTCAATCTTATATCGTATTGGTGATTTAGAGACTAAGAGATAAATAATTTATTTATTATGTATCAATCTGATTACTAATCTATTGCAACTATTGGACAATAATCAACTAATTCAGTAATCAGAAATTATTTTATGACCTTAATGCTTTTTTCCACTGAAACGGACTATGGATTTAGTTTGTTGTTGCTTTTCAACATGAAAGGATGAAGATAAAAGGAAATTACAGAATTCATTGTGTGGAAACAAAAAGCGAAACAAATGAACAATTGATTCAGTCTTTTGAATTCATACCATGAATGTTATCATAGAGAAAAAGAGTAGGAAGAAGATGTAAAGGGATGATAAACAGGAAGAAGAAATACAGAAAGAGAGAGAGAGAGAGAGAGAAAATGATAGCGAGGTGAAGATGATGGGTGGTGGTTACATTTTCTTCTGAAATTTCTGCCATGAACCTTGAATTCTTTCTCCAACTAACTGTCCATTTGGAAGCAATGAAAATGAATTACACGAATTTTTAGAATTTAAAATGGAAAATAAAAAGAAAAAAATTACCATGAAATGGAAGCCAAGGTGTTTATTCATCAGTCCCATCAACTTTTAGAAATACTCTTGATATTAACATGAATATTTTCGACTCATTGTTTTCCTACCTCACTGACTAATGATAATTTAGAAAAGAAAAGAGGATAAAAGAAAGAAAGAGAAAAAAAAGTTCATCAATCGTAAAACTTATTGATTAAGAAAAAACTTCAAAGAAGAAAAGTTCAGAGTTTTCAACAGATTGAATTCCAATTCTTATCTGTGAAGTTTTATTATTAGTTTTTTTCTTACTCTTTCTTTCAAATTGAACTATTATCACCAACAACTATCATGATGAACTGAGGAGGAAAAAAAATTATTATTATTATCCAATGAATACAATAGGTGTGATAGCAAATGAATGACTCTGAACAATATCAATATTGAAGTGGGAAATGAGGATGGCAGTGGGTTCGGTGTTTCTGAATAAATCTGTTACCAGATGATATTCAATTTAATAAATTAGTCTTGTTCTTGCCTCGAGTTGAAACTCTTTCCCACTCTTACAACCGGCGCAATGTAATTTGCACCCTTCGGTGTGTTAATGTAATAAGTATCACTCCCAGTCTAATACCCTAGTCATTGATTTTTCTTGCTACTAAATCTATTGAATCAGTTTTATCGTTGAAACTCATGTTGTTCTGAGGGAGCAGGAAAAAAGTTCCATATCCCCCATTCAACCTCCTTCTATTCCTCCTTCTCATTACTTCCTATCTCTTAGTATATATATTGATATCATAATTTGATAATAATCTGATATATGATTTAGTAATTGATGCTCTATCATCATCAACGTAATTCCAACAATTTAACTTTCATTTATCATTATTATTTAACAATTAGAGGTTATTCTTGGTTGGAAAAGAGAAAAAAAATTTTTTTCTTCTTCTTGATGAACAGAACTTTCTCTTTTATTCATCGAGCTATTTCATCATCATGAATATCATTAACTAATCATCAGGGATAATTATTATGTAATTTTCATTATAACTTTGAATGAAATTCAATCTATCACAATTAACGACCTTAAGTAATCATATTTTTCTCCCTCTTCTTTTTGTTTCATTATTAGAGTAAACCTTTTTTCCCTTTTCTATTTGATTTCAATGAGTCTCAATTGTAGTTGAGTTTTGATGAAGATTTCATGATGAATTGATTTCAATCCCATCGAGGGTATGATATATTTCTCTCTATATATATTTATGCGTATGTGTACACCATGAGTTGAATTGTCTTTGTCTAGTGTTAGTATTTCATGAGGTTGATTGGATTGATTAATTCAATAATCGGTTGACACTTGATGGTTTCTACTCTGATGGAATTTTAATTTCACTTATATTTCCACTCCCAATAAAGTCCTCCAACATAAAGGTGAAAAGAGTAGTTGAATTTTATCATCTTCATCGTCATCCTCATCTGATTAGTTTTAATTTGAACCATCTTTTTAAATTCTAAGCTTGTTCTCTTTTCAAAACCACCAGAATCACTTTTCTATTTCAATTGAATTATCGTGAATGACTTTTGAATGAACAAAATTATCAATACCCTAAGTATGCGGAAATCGTTGGTTAGTGATAAATATAAAAAGCCACAAGGAATGAAAATTGAATCAAATTCTGATGATTCAATTTGTAAGCCTTAAGAACGAAAAAAAAAATTCAATCTAATATTTATATATCATGAAATGAACAACTTTTAATATTGAAGAATTAAATTTGGATTCTAAGAAAAAATATTTTGCTTCTAATTGATTTACTTGATAAATATCAACTCGAAATCATCAACAAGTTTCATTTCTTTGATTATTCATGCTTATCTCATGTTGCTATTATATTATACATTATATTATGTTAAACGTTGAGAATTGACTTTAACAGGAATTGATTGAATGTTTCTAGTCGATCATTAATTGTTCATGAAATGGATTCTTATCATGTTGCCTCAAGTATATTCAGAGGTTATAATATTATATTGGAATAGCAAAAGAAGGAAAAAAAAGTTATACAGGAAAAGTAGTATACTGATAGTAAATGTATTACACTTTTACAGTAGTTGGTATATTGCTATTGAAGAGTTGAGACTTTGGGGAAAGAAAAAAGTTCATTATCATGAAGACTAAGGAAATTCAGGAAATCTTGGTTGATTAAACAAAGGCTAAGGTACATTTACTTATGAGGCGATAGAGTTGATTGTTGTTATTGATTGTTATCATGATCATTTTGTGAGATGGTAACATCAATTAAAACATGTTAATCAAATGGTAACTAATCAACTAGAGTTAACTATCTGTCTGTGGAAACAAGTAAAACTTTTACACTTTTTTTGTTTCTTGCTGTTGACCGGTTATTTGTTATTGTTGTTATTTCTGGTGATGATGATGATGATAAAGGTTGGATATTGGAGGAGGTGATGATGGTGGAAGAGTAATAAAATAATAGGAATGTTGTATTCTGCAAGATTCTGTTATTATTGATTCTGTGTTCAATCAAAATGGTTAATGGTGATTGTTGGGGTTAATTTGTCACGGAATTGAAAGAGAGAAAGAGAGTGAGTTGTAGAAGGAGAAAAAAGTTCTGAAGATGAGATGAGAGTTGAGTGAAGGTGATGATAGATAAGGTTCAAGATGTTACTGTTAAGAAATGATCACCATCATCCAGGGAGAGTCCAGAACAAGAATTGAGAGAGAGAGAGAGAGAGAGAGAGAGAGAGAGAGAGAGAGAGAGAGAATGCTAAGAAAAAGTTAGCAGTGTCAAGAGTATTTTCGAAGTGGAGAAAAAAAAGTTCCAATAATAATATTGATGGTTTATCGTTGTTCGATCTTCATCCATTACTTTTTTTTCACTCAGGATTCCTTCACATTTTCATGATGATAACCATCATCTTGAAAGATCAAACATTATTTTATTCTTTCCATCATCATCTTTCTCTCTCTCTCTTTCTATCTTCCTTTGTCTTCTCACCTCCAATTGATATTAGCAACTATGATACTGTTACCGTTAGAATTTGTTTGCAAAAGTTTACACTCTAGTTTAAAGCTTTTGTTAGGCTTAAGGTATTAGGAAAAACAAAGTATCCAAAAAGGAAGGATAAAAGATGATGCAAAAATCGTGAATCATGAAACTGATTCTTGAGGTATATTTTATTGAATATCTTTGACTTTCATGATTAAATGTTGAGTTTCAGTGGAGAAAAGTTCTTCCGCCTAAAAACAACATTGATTTTAGCAAAAGCAAACAGAGGAAAATGTTATTTTTCCTTCATCATCCTTCATCCTTCATCATCATGATCTTGTAACTGAAACCTAAACTTTTCACCGAATCACTGAATAAACAGTGAATGTGTAAATGAACCAGAATTTTGAAGCGGAAAAATATCATATATATTTAGGGGAGGGAACGATAAAAGTTTTAAATGAAATAACAAATTGTTTTATGCTAATCAATTCAACTTTTTGAATTGAAAATTTTCCCTTCTTCCTCAATTTACCCCATTGGAAAAACTGGAAAACCGTAGTAGAATCGTTGTCACCATTTATATATCGTCATTAATATAAATATAAAAGATTTCTGATTCTCTCGCTGAATCTGACAGTTTTGATTATCATCAAAGTCTCAATGATGAATATAAATAACTTTAGTATCCAACAGGTTCTGGTCAGTTTGGTGTTTGATTGCTCCATCTTTTGATTGCTACCAAGCCCATCGACGGAGACTGGATAAGAATTCATCTTCATTTTGCTTGTTTAGAATGACATAAAAAAACACAATATTCACTGTCCAGCTTTTGGTCAAGGTTCATCTGAATTCATCTAAATGAGAATGATGATATTATTTTATGAAGATTTATATTCATACAAGTTGAAAATTATTCCAAAGAAAACTTTTCATTGAGTTTTTTGTCAAAGATCTTGTTTACTCCTACGCATCATCGACCATGACGTTGGAAGGTACCACCAGAAGTAGGACAGTTGATCGTCATACTCATACGTTGTTAAATGAAGATTATGACAACTCTTTGCTTTTTTGCTTTTCTTTTCTGTTCTTCTTTTCTTTGACATTACATCTTGTTATCCTTATGATATCAGAATATGATTCTCATCATCTGTTATCATGTGTTCATTATCATCACCATGAATCTGTTGAATTCATTGGAATCGAAAGTCTGTCAAACATTAATAATGATGATAAACTAAAGTAAAAGTTACAATATCCATAATATTACATAAATGAAAGAGAAAGAGAGCGAGAGAGAGTAGAGACTTGATTGATTACAGAATGAAAATATTAACCCTCATTCTCTAATTATTTCGTGTTATTATATTTTATAAAAGCTCTGATAGTTTACGATTGTGATTGAGATAATAAGCAAAATTATTATCATTAAATAAACAATAAGAATCTATTAATGTATTGACTGTTAGATTTTTCGATAGCTTTTGGTAATTATAAATAGTTATACTCGTGATTAGCAAACTTAATAATACACAATATCTCATAATAATAATTCCTCATACGTTGAATTCTGATAACTCAATCAAATTATATTCATGCTGGTCAGTTTCTAGTGATTAGCATAAAATTAAATTCTTACTCTCTATCACTTGTTTTATCTTTTGTTATTTGAATACCTTTTAATGATTCTGATAATTAATCATTTGTGGATTTACTAATAAAATTGATAATTAATCTGGTTTACATAAGAGCTTGAAATAAACAAAAAAGGATTAAAGTTAATCGTTTATTCATTATCTTGGTTATATGTAAGTATTTGATAATAACCAACGCAAAGTTATTATTTCATTTTATTTGAATAATTAATTGTCTTGACAGAAAAAAGATAATATTAATTTTTAAACAGCTAATTAAATCTTAATCATAGCCAATTAGATAACTGCAATTACAGAATTGTGACAATTAAAAACGTATGAAAAATGTTGGCGAACAATCAAATAATTAAGCTAAATGGAACTACAATTGAAAGCAATTAATTAATAAGCATTTTAATCTTTCCAACAATCAGGCAACAATGATGATTATGAATGGAATGGTTAATTATCTATGGAGCCAGGAAACAGGAAGATTATCAATGGAATAGAGAAGAAGAAGAAAAAAAATTTCCTATCAGATTATCATCTTGATTGTAGTAATAAGTGAATGACAAGAATGATGAACAGGAGAGATGAAGGGAGAGAGGATTGATTAGCACTCTCAATCCATTTTTACTTTCAGTACTCATGGAGAGATGGACAGATAATGGTGAGAAAGAATCTAATATTACAGGAGAAAAGTTAGAACAGAGAGAATATAAGTAAGTGAGAGAGAAAAATATTATATTATCTTAATTCGAGATTGTTACAGAAAAATAATACAACATTAGATGATAACATGAAAGGATGAACATGAACAGCAAGCTCGATAAATGTTTCTAGATGATGAACATTTATATGAGAATACACATTTTCTAATGATGAAGATGATAACCATTCTCATTGGAAGATTTATCTTTTACCTTAGTTTTTTTCCTACCCAGAACTCTAAGTTTATCCCATGAAAATTGTTACAAGATCCTTGCCTTACAGAGCTACGATATTATATTAGATTGAGATGTAGTTATTATTATTATTGTTGTTGTTGTTGTTGCTTCTGTGTTGGTGATGATGATGTTACTCCTAATCATTTGATACAATACCACACTGCTATTGCTACTATTAATACTAAAATTTATCTTCTTTCTCTTCCTTTTATCATCCATCTTCTCCTCCTTCACCATTCAACATGATATAATAATTTATCGTTTTCATATTGACCACTGGGAATCACCATCATCACCATCAATACAATTTTCACCATTGGACATTTATTTTTTTCTTGGTCACTGTTTTTCACCCAAAATAAAAATAAATATAAATAAAAACTAAATGGACTTTACAACAAAATTGGACACTACTACTACTACTGTCACCATCATCATCATCGCCCCAACAAACCCAACAACTGTGTCAAAAATGGACACCACAAAATGTAATAAAAAACATTTTCACTCAATATTTGAAAATGTTTATATATTTTTTTTCATTGAAAACTTTGACCATTGCTCTGATCGTCACTTTGCCATTGAATTTCACTTTCATCGGTTGGACATTATCACTTTTTGGTCATTATTTGGTCATCATCATTAACAACAGAGTCGACGAGCAACTTTTTACAGCCAAGGAAACAATTTAACTCTGACCATTTCATTACAAGAGGAAGAGCTTTTTCAGCCAATATCTACCATTGAATATCTACCTGACGTACAGATTTTACCAGTCAACTTTTCACCTCCACAACCATCAACCCAACCTCAGCAATAATCACAAGAAAATAATAAATCACGTTCATCAAACACTCCAGGTAAGTAAACAACAATTAAAGAAACAAATTACAACAATCAACAATAATACAATTACAAAACTGTTACCATCAATACTTGAGTTTGAATTAACAATCAACTGCTAATAGATACTAATGTTTATCAATTTGGTATATACGAAAATCCAAAGTAAGTGCTTTTCTTGTTGGCAATTTAAATCCATGAAGATGAATAATTTTCTGGTTAAATTTTGGTTACCTGATTGCTGTTGGTGTAAATTCACCCAAATTACTCTGTGTGAGCTTGATTAAGTAAATTAATCATGGTTAATCAAGAAGTGAGTTAGATTAGTAAAAGGGAAAAAAGTTTTTTTCTCCTCTGATAAAAGATGAGGATGAATTACTTTTGGGATTGAATTTGCTACACATGCAACCGATGGATTTAATTAACTAATGAGTAAACATTTTTCAGAATGTTAAGTTATTTGTATGCATGTCTACATGTATGTGTTTCTGTGTCAGTTTTGAACATTTTCTGTACATCATCATGCTACAATTAACGAGATAATTGATGCTAATTGCGATGATTAAGTCTCTTCACCTTTTATGAAACGAACACCTAATTGTCTGTAAATTTTTCACTAGAAAATATCAGTTAAATTGGAAAATTTTTCATCCTCAATTTTTTGGAAACCAATGAGTTTGAACTCTTTTTTTTGCCTCATTCTTGAATCTCAGAGTTTCAAGGAGTTTGAACTTGAACAATGGAGTTGAAACTAAATCATACATGTATGATGATGATGATGATGATGAGAGGAAAAAAAGTTCTGGCTAGTAGTTGAATCTTTCTCTAGTTCTGGTCTGGAAAATTTATCTCTCATCTTTTCTTCCGCCTCTTCCAATTCTCTAACAAATTATTTTCTTCCCTAATAATTTCGAAACATTTTTTATACTAAAAGACATAACAACTTCATGGTAGAAAATGAACAGAGAAAAAGAAAGAAAAGTTCATGATACTTTAGTTAAATTCACTGGTGCGTTCATTTTTCATCTTCTTAGTAGTTTACTTTTAATCTTTATCCATGATGACACATTCATGATAATGATGATGATTTTTTCTGTATAACTTCTCTCTCTCTCTCTCTCTCTCTCTCTCTCTCTCTCTCTCTCTCTCTAGATTACAATTCTCATCTCTTTTGTCTCTCACTTGATTGTCGTTGAATAGTTTTTTTTCTAAACAATGAATTTTATCTTCAACTTGAAATGATTATCATCATGAAATCATATCATCATTATAGTAATTTTGGTCCAAAATACTGACCGAAAGTAGCCAATGTTTGTATTTGTCCATCAAAGCTTCAAATTGTGATTTTTTTCTCGTCTTCTCTTTGAGATGAAACTTTGAATCATTTTCCTTTCCATTGTCCAAGTCCTTTTGATGGAGCTTAACTAAAGGATCATTTTCCACTTCCACCCTACAGGAAAAAACGACCAACCTTTTCCTGTCCAATCAACTCCCCAGGTAACATGATATTAAATTTTAAACCTTCAAGTCCATAAGATTGTAAGATTTTTGAGAACGAAGAAGAAGCAAAAAGTTGTTCAAGCTTGGATAACCTTGAAAAAAGACTGGGAGGAGAAAAGCTCCAAAAGTGTAATTCAAGTTAGAGATAATAATAGATTCCAAATTCAGACTCATAGCATCAGGGAGGATTCCAAGTTAAAAAGAGATATCTAAAAGTTGAAATAATAGTTTTCCAATGGATTACAGTTTGTTAAATGTAAATGGAATATGCTGTTTAATGCAACTTTATCCACCATCATCATCATGGAAATGATATCATATTATGATTGACCAATGGCCAGTGGATACTTAATACTTTTAGCCGATTCATATCAAAGTGAAAGGTTCTGGATGTTCATTATCATACAATATTCGTGTTCTCAATCAGCTAATGATTTTTATCCTAAATTGTAATTCAATCTCGTATCGTTATTATATCAATACCTTTATGTTGAATGAACTTTTCAAAATAGAAATCCAATTCTGTAGCTTCACCTTAAATTCAAGAGAGTTTTAGTAAAACTCAGTATGGTGATGATGATGGAGAAAAATAATCAATCTGATTGGTTGAATTTAAATTTTCCAATCTGAATATATTATTTACTTTAACGATTGACAGACTTGTGATTGCAATTGAAATTAAACTTTTACACTTTGTATTTATCCTGCTAATTGTAATTGATCAAATGTCATGATCAATATGATGATTATCACGATCCAAATTTTCGAGTTGATTGTTAATACCAATTAAATCACTTGTATCATTGATTTGAAGTAACTTTCTGGTAACAATACAAAGTGGAAATTAAATTGACATCAATTGTAGATTAGAAAACAAGTTACAAACAATTACCCTTGAAATCAATTGATTGTAATCAGTATGGTCATCACAATGTCCTCTCTCTCTCTCTCTCTCTTTCGTATGAATGAATCAATTATCCAATCAGAAGACTGGTCAGCTTTGTATTCATTTTAATGAGATTATTTTTTCAATTCATCCGAATGATATTGACCATCATCATCATCATCATCAAATGTTAATCACTCACAATAAATAATGATTATTGATAAAACTGTTAATGAGATTTTTGTTACTATCAAATTGAATCTGATCCATTTTTTTTGTTCCTTGATTACTTGATTAATACTCTTGACCAGTACAAAGAGGAGTGATGACCATCGATTATAACCATTATCTAGGTTAAATCCAACTAGTTAAAAAAAAGGTCACCAAATACATCCCTATGATATTACATGATGTCAAAATAATCTGTGTGACTAATATACTGATTATCTTGACTTGTATTATTAATAACTTGCAAAAGGTAATACCCATGTAATATTAATAATATTTGTGATAATTATCATGTAATCATGTTGATAGATGATCATTTTTATCACAGCACTTTCATGCTCATGTTGATTATGAGTATTACCATGTAGTTCATCACCATGTTGGCAGGGATAAAAACTTCATCATTATTTACATTCAAATGAAAAGTTCACATGTAACAACAATAGCAACAAGAGAGTCTCTGGAACAACATGAACTTTTATACACATCAGTTCAGTCAAACTGAAATTTCAGTTTAGCTCAGCCCAAATTAATACGATATGTTACAAATCATTATTGAAAATACTTCCCATCTTAACGAGAAGGGAAAATCCTGTTATTTTATTCAGTAATATTGAAAATGTGATTCTTTGACTGATACTTATGGTGAATACAAATTCAAATTAATTGGTTGATACTAAAAGTTTGTAATTGCAATTGAAAGTACATTTCGTTGCTTTTATATGGCAACTACTCTTTATAAGGGACTGATTGGATATACATGCTTGGGAATTAAATAGTTGAAATGGGAAAATTGCATATTTTCAGAGATTAAGATGCAACTGCTGATGATAATGATGAAGATAATTATTATCATCATTATGTTGATTATTATTATTGTAAGAGGAATAATAATATAATTGTAATTGTATGCATATTGAACTGTTGCCAGTGTATTTGAAGAGTAACAATTGATTTCTGTTGGTTGATTACTCATGTGCTTCAAGCATATTGCTGTGTGTGTATGTTTGTATTTTAAGCGTGAGTGGTAACATTAAATGTCAGGTTAAATTAGATGTATGAAAGATACAGGGTCTTATGGATGAGAAGATCACTTTTTATATGCAATTGATTGTGAAAAGATGTTGGCAATTAGGTTGAAAAAGGATGATGATGCTTGAGAAATAGAGAGAGAGAGGGAGAGTTGATATCATCCAAGGGAAATGTTTCAGTTGATGAGAATATAAAGATAGAAAGAGAATGAGAAAAAAAGGGAAAGAGTAAATTTCTGAATCATGGGAAGAAAGAGTGAGAATGCTGAGAAAGACATGATGAGAAAGATGTAGAATTGATATTGCGTGTAGAATATATTTCTCTCGCTTTCTCTCTCTCTCTCTCTCTCTCTCTTTCTCCCTAATTTGCTGTTGATGTAATGATGAAGATGATGGAAGATATATAAAGTTATATTAATGAAGATGAGGAACGACAAAAGTTTCATATGCATGGTAACACCGAAAATCATAATGATGTGAATTCATTCAAGAGGTAAAATGATTATGTCTCTAGAATCACAATCAGAATCATTTGTAATCCGTTATATTTACATATTGTATTACAAAAATAAGAGAACCCGAAACACAATTCTCTCAACTTTTGAAACTTTTTCTCCTTCTCTAACATATTAATACTTTTACTTTATCGAATCTGTTGGAGGCAAGAAAAAGTTCTAAAATAAATTTACCACTTAATGGAAATCTAATTGAAAGATTATTATTTTTCTTTCTTAATCAGATTGATTTTATAATCATATTACCATTGATTCTGTTTATTGTTCCGAAGTTTATTATTATTATTATTATATTACAAGTTTTTTAATGAAAAACTTTTTTTCTATGATTTAGAATATGATCTGATTTGATCTTAAGAGAATTAAATTCGATAAAATAAATCACTTTTAAAATTAGCAAATTAGTTATCATTTTATTCAAGAACACAACTGAAATTACCTCATGTTACTACTTTTTCATCATGATTATTTTGTCAACCCACCGGTGGGTTGACACAGAAGAGAGAGAGAGAGAGAGAGAGAGAGAGAGAGAGAGAGAAGAAAAAAAATATAATCACCAGAATGAATAGTTTATCATCTTTATCACCCAAGGCATTAACACTTTTCCCCCTCTTTTATCATCATGATCTCATCATGATAATCATCATGAGTCAATAAGGTTCAAGTTTTCTGGATGACGAAACTGCAAACAACAACAACACATACAATAACAGGGAGGGAATATTATTTGATAACACTCGAAGCTATTTCCTGATTATTTCAATCAGATGAAAATCTCACCTACAAATAATAATAATAAGCAAATGATTTGATTACAAATTAACCCAACATCTGATTATCCTTTTAGTTGATTCTCTGTTGATTCAGTTTCATGTCTAAACAGTTAATCAAATACAATCTCTTCCAGGAGGATATTTCACTTTCTCTTTTTCTTTCTTTCTTTCTTTCTTTTCATCTTCTATTTATCTTTTTCTTCATTCAACTATTGATTTTGACCATTGGTCACTCAAAGAATCGAATGATTAGACAAAAGGTAAATATTTTCAGTAGAATAAAATTGAATGAAGCTTAAAAAGAAGAGGAAGAAAAAAATTCTGAAAGATAATGAATTATAATCCAAGATGCCCAATCAACAGTGTAATTTTTGAGGAGCCGATTTGATTTAGTTTTGATTCAGTACTGAATCAACTCATTGATTCAAAACTGATTCAACAACAATCAATTTTTAGAATTGATTCAAAATTAGTCAAAAAAATGAAAGAGAAAGGAATAAAAATCCAAAAGCTGAAAACAAGAGCATGAATCATCTCAAAAGATTCGTTAAGCCAAAGTCAAGCTGAATAAAGCTTCTTTCAAAGAAAAGAGAAAGCGAAATGTAAAAATCGAATTTGAATTTATTCTATTCAGAAATCAAGAAAATTCATCATATTGAATTATGAATATGGATATTATTCTTTAGAATTTCGAGCATAACAAGTGGTGAAATTGATTGTAATCAGAGAAAAAGAGAAATTATCGATAAGAAAAACTGTTGAATTTGTGGGATAAATATAAAGATACCAGAAATTTTGGTTAAGCTTGAATATATGAAGAAAAATCAAAGAAAAATATCATAATGAATGATCGTGAAAAATGGTAAGAAAAATATTAAATTTCCATTTCTTTCACTTCTTGGGAATAATCCATTTCTTCAAATTGGCCTTTTTGATCAAATTCATCAAATTTGTAATTGAAAAAAACTTCATCATCACTATCTTCACTGTCCTTTTTTTGTCGATAACAATTTGGTGTTGAAAATCTTGTTGTTGTTGAGAAAGATCTTGTTGTTGTTGAGAATAAGCTTGTTGTTGTTGATGTTGATGTTGATGAAAATCTTGTTGATGATGTTGATGAAAATCTTGTTGTTGAGGACGATGAGAATCTTGTTGCTGAGGATGATAAGAATCTTGTTGATATTGTTGTTGTTGGAGAGGAAAATCATTTTCGACGGGAATTGGACACCAGTTGATTTTGATTGTTGTTTTTGTTTCAATATTTACGCTAAATCCTTGTGATGAGAAAATAAAAGAAATAGATTTTAGTCGACCAATTCAAATATAATAAAATTATATTCGAAACGAATATTATGATTAGACTTACCGTAATTTTGATAAATTTCTTGATCTTGAGATTCCATTTTGAGATAAAAAAGATAAATTTCTAAACACAAAGAGAAGAAAAGAAAAGAAAAAGATAAATTTAAAATGTAAACAGAATGAGAAAATCATATGGAAAGCTTACCTTAAGAATAAATTGATGTTCTTTTTCAGTGATTAATCCAGTGAATTTAAATATTTTTTAGAAAGGGTTTAATGATGAAGTCTTTAGAATATTTGAAAAAGAAAGTTGTTGATTGAATAAAGATACACTTGGAAATATCACTATCAATATCGATGCAATCGAGATGACGACGATCTGATTCAGTTACTTCGTAGATGTGATCTAAACTGAATGAAAAATAGCCACTGAACCCTTGAAAAGCCAAATGAACGCGTTTAGAGGTAAAAAGCTGACAGAGAAAAAGAGTTTTTTCTCTAAATCCAACAATGGCTTTTATTCGGTAAAATTTTTCTCCAACACAAATAATGGAATCATTTCTCTGTTTGTCTTGACAATATTCAGCGATTGAATATCTTATTCCACACTTCGAGATTGATTTGTAATGAGATATTTGATTATTCACTAATCCAATTGGATCCAATTGATTTTCTATTGATTCGAAAATTAAATTTTTCATCGAATCGGAAATTGATCTGAAAGGAATTTTTTTAATCTCACTGTTTTTTTCGCACAATCCAAAGTTTCTTTTTTCTTTATGATTCAGCTGCCAATTTTTGAGTTTCACTTCACAAAGCTCTGAGAATTTCAAATCATTCAGAAAAACTCTAAGCAAAGACGGTCCGATATGAGAATATCGTCGAACTTTATGTTTGAGTTTACCCATGTGATCTTCAAGAGGGTATGATGATACACTAGCACTTGGTCCAAGGTTGCGAAGAGATTTAGATAAATGAGAAAGAATATGAAGGTTGTACGAAAGAAATCGAGTTCCAAAAAGAGTAGCAGTCCCAATTTGATATTCTTCCACTAGATTATCCATTTCGTCGATAATTGCCTGATTAACTGGTCCAATGTGAGATAAGTAATATATTCTACAGAGACAAGATATGTAGTTTATAACACTTTTCTTAAGCAGGCCTCTCACAGAAGAGAAGAAAAAGTAAGATAGAAAAGAATCATATTCAGAACTTTTCCATAGTCTTATTTCATCCATTCCTCTTACAATTCTTGCTGATTCGGACGGGACTTTGATACTTGTTAATCTTTCAGCAATTGAGGACATGAATCTATTAAGATTTATTTCTCTTTCAAATATACTGGTATTATTTCCAAGAATTCCTTTGATCACGAAATTTCGAAAAACACCTAAACTTATACAGTGCATTGGCTCTACACTTACTCCATCCACAATATCAAAGTCTAATAGATTTAGCAACGGTGAAACACCAGCAATACCTTTGAATCTTGGATTGAATTGAATATGATTCTGATTTTGATTCTCTTCTCTTTGCGCTTTGTAATGAAAAAAATCTTCTTTTTTTCTACTCAGATCATTAAGTTCAGCGCGAGTAGAATTTGCGTAGAGGCGAGCTCCATTAGCAGTTGTCGCTTGTATAAGACACCAGTCACAACCATTCACATGGTTGTACTGTCGGACATTTCTCAGGTAGGCTTTCATTGGAGCATCTGCTATCAAAGCAATCAAATGACAAGAAACCTTTCTAGATCTTTTTCCATTTATATCAATTTCCATGGGATCCGTTGATAATGATCTTATTTCGGTACAGATTGGGGTTAAAAAACTTTCAACGGTTGGTTTCTTCTTCCCAACATAAAGGCCAACAAGGAAAAAGAACTTTCTCCTTTCTTTTCTTCTCAACTCGTTAATTGAAATAAAAATTGACAGAATTTTTATGCTTGAACTGCCAGAACAACCCACTTCATCTGAGTGTAAGGTCATGGTCAATTTTTCGCAGGAACTTTCAGATGATTTGATTCTTCTCGCGAGATCAGCATTTGATACATCATCTGGTTCATATGGATCTATTTTACTTTCTTGCCATGCGGTACAAGGTATAGATGGTAGAAACTTTTCAAGCTGAACACGGAGAGGGAGATGAATGAAATAATCATCTTTATTCATGTTTACGCGAAATTGATCCCCTTCACAGTCGAAATATTCCTGGTCTTTCGATAACCCTGAAAATGGTCCATGAGAATGTTTTCTAGGGCACAAAACGTAAACATGAATGATATTTTCTTTAGCTTGACGATCCCAAAAGTGTCTTATACTTGGAAAAGTAACTGGTTCAGATGAGAAACGATTATTAGTTGTGTTGAAAAGATTGATAACTATTTCAGCAGCATGTAAATTTAAACCAGCGTGACTCAAAATGGTAACAAACACAGCTTCAAAATACTCTTTTGATCTTGGAATAAGATAATTTTCACTATCTTCTATTTCACTTCCGTTGGTTGAAGGGTCACTCTCAATGTCATTTGAAACAAAAGATGAAGTAATTTGTGATGAATGTGATGATTCTAATGAAGAATCATTATCAGGTAAATTATCAATGTAATTTTGTTGATTTAAATGATGATAACGACGTTTCCGCCGATAAAGATGTTGAAGAGATAAATTTCCACTAATCATCACTAACAAAATACAAATTAATCAAAAATTTCACCACAACAATTTAAATAAAAGGTTAATTTATTTTAATTAAATGATTTGAAGTAAATCACCAGAGTAAAACATGTGGAGATAAAACTCTTATCTTATGTTGGTTACTAAGAAATTGATTCGTCACGTTGCCATGGTGATAATCAAAAAATTCTTTTTCGACCAATTAGCTTGTTCTTTTTAAAAATTTATTCTATTCTCTTATCTCCTTGGTAACAAGTGTTTCCGCATTAATTCAAACTCATTTCATTTTTACATTTTTGTTTTTACTCAAAAACAATTGTTTCTTTTATTTTTTGAATATTTTTTTCTTGTTAATTGTTTTATTTTACCGAATGTGAACAATTTCGTGTATTCTTTTGATGGAAGAAAGATCAAAACGCCGAAAATCAACAGTTAAATTTCAAAAAAGTTCAAGACAATCTCAGAGTAATTTGATTCATAATCAAACCACATTAGTTGGAAGTTACATGAGTCTCATGGAGAATCAAAAGCTAGTGGTTGCCGTTCTACGGTACAAAACAAATGATGGTTCTAAGATCAAATTACCAGTTTTGTTCAAAGTGTCTTCTGAACAAATTCCCAAAGATCTTCGTCTTCTTGAAATTCATCGAGATAATCTCATTTATATTGAGATTGATGGTTGTAAGCCCTTAGCCGCAATGATCGTATCAGTCGGTGGTAAGTTTATTAAAGATTTTTCCTCAATTCATGGTAATAATTATCTTTTTCTTTCAATTCTAGATGACTCAGTTCAACTATCTGAAATTTATCAGACTTTTATAAATAAAGAGTTGAAATCTAATCCATCATCCGCTGAGAAAAAAATCTCGAATTGGTTAATTGTCGATAATATTTCTATTTCAAAATTTGAATCTCAAAGATTACCCATAACAAGTGAAGAAGATCTTACTGAAGTCAAAAAAAGGATTGAAACGCTGAATAGTCAAGTGAAAAATCAATCAAAAATATGTCAAGATCCTCAACCATCCACAAGTGCTCAATCTGATCTGATTCAAGATGATCTTTTTGCTGACGATGACGAAGATGATTATTTCGATGAATCAAATTCAGATGTGTCTCATTCACTCATACCTGATCAACTGAAAGAGAACGATTTTATGGACAATTTACAAAAGTTGAAAAGTCTCAATTCTACTGAGGTGGAATCACCTCAAGATATAAAACTGATTATTGACAAAGTCATTGATACTTTTGAATCAGTTTTTTATTCAAAAGAAATGAAAGATCAACAGGAAAAAAACATTATTCAAGTTGAAAAGAATCCTGGTGAGGTTCGATATATTCCTGAAGAAGATAAAACTTATTCGAGTGGTCAAACAACAATGATTGAAGGTATTCTACCAGTGTATACTAACAAATACAAAGCTGCGATCTCATCAAAATCAGAATATCAACCAGCTGCAATCATTACGAATATTATTCGATTCGCTTTTCCTAAGCATTGGCTAGTTGGAGTTACAGTTAAAGGCGCTGGTGGAAGAAAATCTCTCATTTCTATTTGGAATCATCAAAATCCATTGGCTAATCCTGGCGAAGGTCAATTCAAAAATGGCTTAGGAGAGAAAAGACTACGAGCTTTAATTGGTAAGAAAAAGTATTGATTTCTAGTGAATTTTTTCTAATTCTATTTTCCAAATTGATGTACAGATCATGTGGTACGAAAAGGAAAATTCAAAAAATATGACAAAGCAACAGAAAAGTTTCTTGTTGGCTGTCTCGCTAAGGCGATGCATTCGTGTAGACCAAAGCCTAACTTTCTCAGCTCAGCTATCAATCTTGATGATATTTCTGATCCTGATTCGGATATCGATTCAGAAATTTATCATTTGGATATTCAAAAGAAAGATGGTTCCAAAGTGATTAATCGATCCCATCAAGCGCTGAGAGTAGTAACCAGAAGGTCTTCACGCTCTCAAAAACAGGGAAATTCACCTCGTGAAAAAGAATCAGTTCAGGAAAAAGTGCCAAAAGTAACGTCAACAGAAACGAATCATTCCAAAGGAACACTTTCAACTTGCATTGAAAAACTACCTGACCATCAAGGTAAACAAAAAATTATTCCTCTACATGCAGATCCTAACCCTCCAATAAATCTTTTCGAATCAGAAAATGAAGATGAATCTACATCAGGCTGTGAGAACGAAAATCAAACAGATGTTAGTGAGAAAAATGGATCAAGATCAGCAGAAATAATTGAAGTTGATATGGGAAATTCAAGAGAGAGTGAAGAGCCTGAAAACAATGTTGAACCGATTTTGCCCAGTTTAAATCCAGGCTCAGATGGCAAAGTTTCAAATATTGTATCTGATTCTGAGAAAAATTCTCCAGCTGAATCTGATTCACTTCAAACATTGGATGTGTCAATAAATGATTCTGGAAATCATTCAATCTCACCTGAAGATGGGAGTCTCGAAGAAAATACAAATATACCAACAGCTGGAGAGAATACGGTTAACGATCCTATTCATGATGAATCGGATGGTGATTCATCTCAAATCGGAAGAAAAAGAACCAAAAATAGTGATAATGTGACAAAAAAACAAAGATCTGATGTCGGTGATGCTATTCCGCTTACTCAAGCTATTCCTGAAATAATTTCAGAAGAATCGATTGATTGCGATGATATTACGGAAGAAGATCGTGTAATTTTGGCCAAACTCAAATCAAAGGGTGTTTTGAGTAAATTCTTCAACCGATTGGCCAACAATTGAAATGTTGAGTAACTTTCAAATATTTTCCTATTATTCAGTACAAATTTTTCAATATTGAATTACTTAAACTCTCGATTTTTATCAAAATCGAAAGGAAAGTAAATCACAAATAACAATCGAATTGTATCAAAAGTACAATTATTTTTCTTTTTCAATTTTCTAAAATTTTTTCGATTAATCAATTTACATTTACAATTTTGTCTAAAGAAACTCGATCATTTTAATTTGCTTTTACCCAATTTTTTGTGCACAGATCTTGTGAAATAGATCTTTTACAGAAATGCTTTTTGTAGCTTTTAGGGAAAAGCATCTTTGATTGATTTCTTTCCCATGTTTAATCTCGAATCAAAATAAACGATTTTGATCAATATCCGTTTCCTTTTGTGATTTATAAAAACAATTCTTCTTTGCTACTTGCATTCATTTTGATCATAATTGCAAGTCTGTTAACTGTGTTAATCATTCAGAATGAGTTCACAACGTGTTTATAAAGCCGTGAATCCTGAAAAGATTCGTAGATGCTTTACTCAGCCAATGATGAATTTATCTAGAGGCGAGTCAAATAATTCATCCAAAGTATCTCCATTCAGTGATAAAGAAAAGTTTCTTTTCAGTGATCCAGATAAAACATCAAGTAAAAGAAAAAGTTCATCAGATAATGAAAAATTATCTAAATCAAAATATAAACTTGTAATTGTGCTTCCTCTGATTTTAGACAGAGATTGTGTTCCCTCAAAGCAGCCCTTTTCGTTTCAGATTGATGAAAATCAGCTTTCTGAATTTGGATTCGATTTGCCATTCAAAGCTTTTTTCGATGAGAAAAGGAATTATTTCATTTTCAACATCTGTGAGCAAAAACTAACCATACAGATAATTGCGATTGCTGGTGAGTTGAATCAGATCTTATTTTGAATTTCAATTAACTGATTTTCTTTCTCTAGATAACAAATCTGATCTACTTAAATGCTTCCAAAGCAACGTAAGACAGAATCCGATGTGGAAGAATTTGAAAAAGATCTTTTCTAATTGGAATTTAAAAGTTAAACTTCAATATGCTCCACTCACTGAGGAAGAAGATGCTCCAGTTCAACATGTTCTTGGTCCAAAGATAATTGCAAATATTATGAGCGAGTTCAAGCGTGATGTTAATTTGGGTGCTGAAAAACAAATTCAAATCAAAAAAACAAGAACTGAAGGTGAAAAGAATATTTTTCCCGAAGTCACCGAAAAGAGTCCATCGATTTTGAAAACCTCCAGTAAACAAACAACAAGTGAAAAGCCTAAAGGATTGTTGATGGACTCAGATGAATGTGAAACGGACATTGAAAATGATCCCTGTAGTAATGTCGATGAAAATGTTCAAAGAGACGAGAATATGAAAAGTAAAAGAACTAAATCAAATGACCAGATTGTACAAGATTTAGATAAAAAATTGAATGCTCTCGCTTCATCTACATCAAGGCTTTCTGATAATGATATTCTTGGATCGACGATAAAAACCACAGTGGAAATAATCCAAGAAATATATCAAAAGTTAATGAAAGTGGAGCAAGAGCCAAATACAATCGTGCATAAAGTTCCTGTGAAAGATGATACATATAAAATACGAAAAAAGGTAAAGAAAATACTTTTCCAAAATCTTTACTGAGTTTTTTTCTCTTGTTTTTCCTTTATTCAGAATTGGATCTTTTTGGAGGGTAAAGTTCAATTAGAATTAGATAAATATGAAAGCGCTTTGTGTAAATCAAAGCCTAATAATCCTTCATCTTTGGGCTACCAGCTAGTGAAAACAGCTTTTCCTGAAAGTTACATAAAAAATGTAACAATTGGGAAAAAATTCCTAACTGAAAATGAGCTTGCAAAGTTTCGTGATAACTTTCGTGATGAAAAAGTACCTTTGGTTTATGCCTGGAGTTTTAAAGATCCTTTCAGTGAGCCTTTCAGAGGATCATTTGAGTTTCATTTGGGTAGAAAAAGAATCAAATCACTAATAGGTGAGAATAGATTCGATTCTTTTCAATGAAATTAATCTAGCTTTTTCTACTAGATCATATCTTCAGAAAATCTGAAATATTTGAATACACTGAAAGACAAGAATATGATGTCCGTGAAAGAATGATCAAAGAAATGAGCAGAAAAAATGAAGGGAAAAAGAATAAATTCACTGGAAAAGAAAAGACTGATCAAGATGATGACGACATTTCAATGAATGGAAATTCTGATGGTGACTCAGGCGAATTTCACGATGCCAACAGTGATATTGGAGACGAATCTTTTCAATTGAATAAGCAATGGGATGACTGAATATAAAAATATTATTTTCTTTACACTTGAACGTTAAAATTAAAATATTTAGAATTTGATATTAATTACTAGATTCTAATTCTTATCGCGAGAAAATTCATGAATCGGATTTTCATTTAATTGATCTTATGATTTTTTTCAAATTACTTAAATATGAATCAATTCGGCTTCAAAAAGAGTCAGTAAAGTCTCAAATTTGATTCAAACTGCTTTCTCAAATTTGAATCAAAAACTCTCAATTTTGATTCAAATTCTCATCAAAATTGAATAAAATCGCGTCAAAAATCATTGATTCAACGTTGAATCAATCGTCAACTTTTTTCTATTTTTTTGAATCAAGTTTGAGTCAACACTGTTGATTGGGATGTTTACACCATTAACTTTAAGTATTGTTGATTTGGAGAGCACATTAAACAGGGAAGATAAGCAAAAAGTTCAATCTCTCATGATGATGATGATGATGACATTTTGTTTATCATCATTCAGAATCTCCTCCTTTTTTCCTCATCTTCCACCCCAGATAATCTTATATCCCTCGAAATTTTTACAGATAAAAAATAAGCAAAAGAAGAGCAAAAAAATCACCTGATAAATTATAAGAGAAACACGTGAGGAAGATAAAAAAAAGAGAATAGAAGAGAAAAAGGAAAGATAAAAAATTTATCTTCTACCATCACCTTATCCTCATCCTACTTTCGAACTTTTTTTCGCTCTCTTCTTTATATTATTTATGTATCTTTCATTCCCAGTTCTCTGAAAGAAAAAGAAATTCTCTCAATTCTGTCATTGATCAAATCGCTAATCACTAATCCACTTCAATGTTCAGTTAAACTTATTAATAAATATTAATTCAGTTTATTACTCATCTTTCTTTACGCCTCAACACCAACCAAACATGCAACATATTTCATGACAACGGGAGGTGGGAATCTGAGTCTGAGAAATACAATAATAAGAATCACCTTGATGATGATGATCATCATCATAACCATTAAATGTTATATTACAATAGTATTGATGATGTAACTGCAATTGTAATTGTATTGTACCACCTTAATCATCATTATCATCTTATTGTTTTTTTCTGTCTCTTAACTATTATCATTATTGTCATTTGCCTTTGAAGGTTCACCACCCACAGAATCCAGAATTAAATTACCTGGAATAATATCATCACCATGTAACCAAATTTTTGATGATTGTCTAGATTCCAATAATAATAATAATAATAATAAATGTCGCCTTTTATCACCCAATTATCCTGGATTCTATCCTAGAAATGTAACCTGCCATTATCTTATAAAACAGAAACTAAATCAAACTCGAAATGTAAACGGATTAAAACCTCGAATCACAATTAATCAGGTAATCAAAGTTATTAATCTTCATGAATTTATTACCATCTAAATATTTATATATCTAATATAAATATTAGTTTCATTTTTTTCCGAAAAAAAAATTCTCATGGTAACAAAGTTATATTAAATTCTGACATTGAATATTCATGAAAATAATTCCAAGATTCTAACATGATGAAACAAATTAAGATTTATAAATCTCATCGAAATAGATATAAAATAATTTCGAGCATGAAAAATTGATTTCCAAATTCTTTTTCTTCAAATACAATTTCAGATTCTCTTTCTCTTTCTTTCTTTCTCTGGAATTGAATTTTTCCTTCCTACCTTTACTATTTATCTATTTCCTCATTATTTGTGTATCATTAAGATGAGTTCGTGATTATATTGAACTAATTACTCAGAATTTGTGAGCTAATCTTTCCGCCTAATCAGTTAATTCTGATGATTCTTTGTTTTTCTCCTGGATTTTCCTTTCATGGTTATAAAACAACAATTTATTCTGATCCTTTTTCTCATCATCATTATCATCAATTCGAGTAACATTTTTTCATTCCATGGTACTTGTTGACTCTAATATATAATGTTCACCCATGAGAATGTCCATTAGCTTTTAGACTTTATCCTCCTTCTCATCATCATCATCTCTTTCTATTTTCATCATCATCTTCTTAACTATTCAGTCGTCAATTAAGTTTCTTCACTTTCTCTTTGCCAGAGTCACAATCAGAGTCTCAGATTTCTACCAAATAAAAAGAAGCAAAAAAAACCTTCTGAATCAAGAAAAGAATTTTCTGTCCAACTTAATTCTCTCTCTCTCTCTCTCTCTCTCTCACACACACACACACACACACACATATACAGAATTTTCTTCATTTATCATCATCTTTCTTATCCTCTCTATTTCATCTTCCTCATCAATAACTATTATTAATAATGATACACTTTGTATCTTCATCATCCTCATCATGTAGTATGAAGACAAACAAAACATAAATAGACATCATTTCAACATAATCAACTAGAAAACTCAACTTTCAATATGATGGAAAAATCATCATGATGGAATCATTTTTTCCTCTTCTTGTTCTCCTCCTTCCTCTGAACTTTTTTCGCTTCATGATAATAAATCCACCTCATCTTTTCTCACTTAAACCCTTTCATAAAGCTCATTTAGAATATAAAAAAGCAAAGTTCTAATCTCATCATTCCCACCCACTTACTCACTAAGAATACTTTCAATGAGATATAACTTATGTCTTCAGATAATCATTGGAGTAAAAAAACATTGAATTATATCTAATTGCATCAAATTAAATCTTCCATAGAATTGTAATTGAAGATGAAACTTGGGAGTATATTTTTCAAGTTCTCAATGATAATCATAGAGAAGCTTTTTTTTCTCATAGACAAAACTCCTTTTAATAACTTTTCTCCCTCAACAGATAAATAATAATAATAATAGTCTGAATATTGAATTTTCCCCCATGAAAACTAATCTTCATGTTAATCGGAGTGAATTAATTTTTTTTATCTCATTTCTGTTTTTTTCTTATCTATTTGCTTTTCCAGTCAAATGAATACAAAATTTCAATATTTTCCGGTTCAACGTCAACTTCCACCGGTAAACAAACACGAACTGGCCTCATATCAGATTGTCCATTGGACAAGGTAATCGTCTACGATGGTCCAACCACGAAATCGCCTCGTCTCCTTCAATTCTGTGGCACTGGTAATTTACCACCGATAACATCATCAAAAGGAGAAATGCTTTTAGTACTTATAAGTGTTTCTGATAATGCTTTGTCTGATTCACGATTCGAGATAGACATTAGTATAAAACTGACCAAGGAAGAGTCAACATCTTTTGGGTTATCATCATCTTCACCTTATCATTTATCATCATCATTGTCTTCATCACCTTCAGAGCCTTTTAGTTTACCACCGTCTTCAATAGTTAACGGTGAGAATGGTCAACCTCGACTACCTTTAAATATTAATCAAAGATACCAAGAGCAATCATCTATTAATAAATGTGAATATATTTACAATGGGTCAAGTGGATCTCGAAGTGGTCAATTTGAAGGTTCACTTCAACCATCAACTTCACAGAATACAAGTTGTACTTATCAATTTATGTCCATAAATAGTTTTGATAAAATTTGGTTACAATTTATATCTTATTTTACTGAGGACTCTCATCCTTGGTCATCAGAGGAAAAATGTGACTCTGGTGAGCTTCAGATTACTGAAATAGTGACCAATGGTCAACAATATTTACCATCATTGAGAAAAAAATCTCCCAATGGTAATGCAACCATTAGATTGATTGGTCATTTTTGTGAGAAAAGTTCACCCAAAATATGTGGCCGAGCTTCAGTTCATAATATCAACAATAATTATCGTTCAACGAATCATCTCAAGTTACCTGTTAATCCTAATCCAATTGATTCAGTTATTAATCCAACGGTTCCATGCTCATATCCTAAAGAATCATATATTTCCAAGGTTCTAATCTGATGATTAGTCAATTTCAACGTCGTCTTCCAGGTTTAACTTATATACCGACAAAATTTACCGCTCGATATGAATTTATAGATACTTATGAATCAGGTGATCCAATTATTGGTACACTTTGTGATCGTCGATTTGATTCAATTAAATCATCTACCGGTACAATCCGATCATCTCGTAACCTTTTCTTTTATGGTCGAGGTGGAAATCGAGATGTTTCATGTTCATATTATTTCAATGGTCGAGTAGGTGAAAAATTAATTCTCAAAATAACTTCACTAAAATTGACATCAGCTTCTCAATTGTGTCGACAATCAACTAATGATCCAATTCAAACCTATTCTTGTATCTCACCTTTAAATCCATCCTCATCTTCATCTCAATCAATTTCCACTTCACCACTTTCAACATTAACCAAAACTAAATCAACTTTTGGATTAAGAGGGAAAGATAATCAATTGAAACAATCTTCATATTCATCTAAAGGTTTTACTTTAACTAAAACAAGAGCTTCAGCATCCTTATCATCCGTATCATCATCATCTTTATCTTCATCGACTTTAAGGGTTTATGATAGTGTGACAAATGAGCTATTAAGTGTCGCTTGCTTCTGTGATTCAACCAATTTAACAGTTAATCTGAAAACACCAATAATATTGAATCTAATTGGATCACAATCGGTCCTTAATTTTACGATAATCGGTATGAACTTTAATCAAGATTATAATGATTTCCATTTTGAAGGGAAATATGAGTTTATTGATAACAACTATTGCTCATCTCATTCAATTGATTCAACCCAAACCGACCTTGAAAGTGAGGGTTCAATTAGTTATCAAGTGCCTTCTGACCTTGACTGGTCAACCAATAGTCAATTTAAATGTCGATGGATTTTCATTTGGTATCCAAATAAATTTGTTTCACTTCGGTTTGATGGATATCGTCCTAAAAGGTAAACAAAACAATTAACATGATAAACAAATTTCCAATCAAATAGAAATTCACTCATCACTATTATCATCATGTATAGAGATTACGATTAAATGTGTTACTTGTAACGAATCAGGTTCCTAATCTAGCATGGGTGCTAGACTATCCAAATTTACGTAGACGAAACCTTATTTATATATAATTCACTTATTCAATTTCATCGATAGATTCAGTGCAATCAGAATTCATTGAATTAGTATGAACTTTACATCAAGTGTTTTCTCAATGAATCAACAATTTCTATCTCTTTCTAACACACATGTATCTCTATCTGATCATGAATACAGTTTAGTTGTAATAACAATATAAAATCCATTATCATGATACCATGAAGATAATCTTATAATGATAAGTTTTTTCCCATGGAGTGGATGAGGAGAAGGGGGAAAAAAGTTTCAAGGGAAAATGTTTACTCAATCTCATCTCTTTGGGTTGACATTCAATGATAATGGAAACGTTTCCCTGACAAGTTATATATCAATAGATGATTAAATCAATTCATCAGCTAAATATAAAGTATATTATATAAGACTGGCAATAACAATTAACTGTATCATCATCATGCATCAATTTTGACATGAAGATGAGGAGAAAAAAAAATAAAGTTCTCACCATAATAATCAAACAATCAAAAGTGCTCTTGAAAATTAGATGAATGAAGGTTCAACGAGATGTTCAATTCATGATGTAATATATATTTGTCTTTGACCTTTGAAAGGTTTACTACAAACATTTATAATACTTGGTGACAATTGTAACTACCATTGGGAAGGGATTTAAGCTTTGGGAGTGGATTAAGTTTGAAAGTGGAGGTAAAAGATTTGGATTGAAAGAGAGAGAGAGAATGAAAATTGTTCCAGATATTATTGACTACAATGAGAAAAAGGTAAAGTTTACCCATGAGAAATTCATTGTTGTTGAAATATTGAGCTTGTTCATTTCTTTTTTTGTTTCGTTCTTTGAAAAGTAAGTAGAAGAAGAAAAAATTGAGAAAAGTAAAGTTCAAGATTCTAAAAGATAAAGATGATAATGATGAGGATGAAAATAAATATATTATTGAATCAACTGAAAACTTTCCACTTCTCTTTGGTTGTTACATGAATTATTATTATTCATAAGGATGAAGATGGAAGATAAGGAAAAAAAAGAAGAACAAGAAGGAAGAAAAAATATTCTGAGTAAATGGAATCTTCTCTCAATTTTCTAGCCTCAGAACTTTTTTATCTTCATCTTATCTTCATGATGCTTCATTTTTGTTCACATCAAAAACATGAAACCTTTTCAAGACGAAGAAGAAGAAGAAGAAAAAAACATCAACATGATGATGAACAGCAATGGAATATGCAAAAGATATAAAATCAAGGAGGATGATAAAAAAAAAGTTCTCTTCTCAATCTGTCTTACATGAGAAATAGGTTCAGCTTCACACCCATGATAAATTCATGACTTTTCATCATCATCTTAATACTGTCATTCTCACTTCCTATTCCCTGAACATTTCAACCTGTAGCCATTGAAAATACTTCCACGATCATGATCATTATCAGGATGGAAGAGCTTCTCTCTCTCTCTCTCTCTCTCTCTCTTATTTTCTTTTTCATTGTCAACCTGTACTTACTTGCGTATAGCTGTATGATTTTCAATAGAATTCAGTATAACGAGCAGCTGAGTAAATTCAGTTTCTTGTTGAACTTTTTTTTTATTCTTGATAAATGAGAAAGAAAGGTTAGATTTTTTCTTCTCCAAAATTTTCTCATCGTTTTCTTTTCTTTCTTCAATGCCTACTAACAAAACACTTTGCAACAAGTCGTCTTTTCACCATAGATTCAGATCTTCTCTCACTCTCTTCTGAAACTCTATTGTCAGTATCAAGATGAGGATAAAGGTACAATGGAAACGATTACTCAGAATCAGTTGTAAATTACGAACAAACATTTTTTTCTTTACCGGATACTCTGGATAGTGAATATCCTGAATATGTTTCATCATCTTATGTACATCATAATATACATTCAAACCTCTATTTTACTCATCAAAATCTTGACAAGTTCTTTATATCTCCTCCTTCCCTCCTCAAACCACCCACTAACTCACCGAGCCTCTTAGTGTGAACCATTCATACACTGACTCGTTTTGAAACTAACTCAACATGAGAAAAGAATGAAAAAAATTATCTCTATCAAATAGAAAAAGTTTTTCATTTCATGATGAAATTCGCAAGGGAAATGAGTTGCTTCATTTTCTATCTCTCGAGTAGTATTTCTCTCTGCATCCTTACAGCATTCTCATCTCGATTTCATCTACGACTTTTATACGCATACAAACATATATCTTTCTCTCTCTCTCTCTTTTTTCTTTTGAACCATCATGAAACTCAGAGTAATATATTATCGTGCATCATGAAAGATACACAAACAACTGAACAATCAAGCTCATTATCATGAGAAATTATCTCTTACATATCTTTCGACCTACTTTCTTGTTTAAATTGCTGGTTCCAATTGCATCTCTAAATTGCTAATCATTAACCATCAGCTGAATCAGCATCAATTTAATCACAAAAATAACAGGAAAAAAAATATTTCAAATTCATGAGGCTATTCAATATATTGAATTCAATCAGTTTCCTTAGATAAGACTTAATGTTTTATTCAATTCATCATCATGATTCATGGTAAATTAATCATACGATCAAATCAATGAATCACTTGAAATCTGAAGAGTAGCAAATGTTGATTCATCTTTTTTACTTCTTTCTCTCTCACTGACTTAGTATAATTGCTAAATCGTATATGTATCATCCCCTTAGGCGATTATATCATTTCAAATCTATCACTTACTTTTTCCTATTGTTTACCTTTACCTTTTGTGTATTTGAGCCAAAAAAAACTTGATAAGTGAATTACTGTTGCTGCCTTTTTTTTCATTCTTATGAAAATTTTATATCATGAATTCAGGTTGAATAAGATTGATGAATACATGAGAGAAAATAGTAAGAGATGAAATGAAAAATTCTGATTCTGATTTTTTTTTCAATCGCTCGATAAATGATTTGCCATCATGTCTGCTTGATCCAGCTTGATTCCAGTGGTTCCAAATAACTAATTCAATCAGTATGATGATTGATTTTGTATTGAGATTACATGATTTAAATGATAATAGTGATGATTAAGGTGAAAAAAAAGTTCTAGCGTATTATATACATTGATAGCTTTCTAATTAACTAATTGAACATTTTTCTTTTTTTTCCTGCTTCTCTTTTCATTGGTCATTCTATCAATTATAAATATCCTGAATATACAGAGATCAACGATGTGAGGGAAAAAATCGAATAGTAATTTATTGGGATTCACCATGGAGGCCAATGGCCACAGTCTGTGCTCGTAACAGTTCAATTGTTCAACGAGTTGGAGGAAACGGAAATGATCAAGTTGAGACTATCAACTTATCTCTATCATTAATGCAATCATCATCATCATCATTTGGAACATCATTTCCATCCAGCCAATCAAACAGTTCAACATCAATGAAGCGTCGACCATCATCATCATCATCATCGTCATCAATTTCATCCTCATCATTATCGACATCATGGAATCATAATGATAACAATCATTTATCATCACTATTATTACCTCAAGATGTTAATCGTTTCCAATGGAAATCACAAGATAATCTTTATCCATCCTCAGCTATATCCTTTTTCAATTCCTCTTCCCTTAGGGTGATCATTGAGATTATCGCTGAAACACCTTCAGCTCACTTTAATTTCCACTGGTTAACTCATAAAAGTCCACCACCCACCCACCAGAAAGCGGAAACAAGTGAAACCTTACGAAACACTGATTGTCTCTACAAATGTCCAGAGCTTAACTTTTGTCTAAGCCCTGATCTACTCTGTGATGGAGTTAAACATTGTCCCTCCGGTTATGATGAGTCAAATGTATTTTGCTCCTCATCTTCACTAATTGCTACACTTTTTTTTACTCTTATCATAATGATACTTGCAGTCGGTGGCATATTTTATAGTATTATCCGATCCTTACGCCGTCGATCCTCCCAGTCAACATCGATTCATGATATTGGCTCATGTTTACCTCCGACAACAATTTTTGGCTCTCTAGAGGAAACTGCAAGCGGTTCAATAGGTAGAGAGTCAAGTTCAGTTTCTTCTGGATCATTTTCAAATTTTACTCATTTAACATCTTCATCAACTAATCGTCCACCCTCATTAACATCCAAATATATGCTACCTAATCATCAGCTACAATTGCAAAATCAGCAACATCATCATGGTTCCACTCTATCAACTATCGGTGAATTTGAATTCCACTCTTCCTTGGGTGGACCGCTTATCCCCTCTGGTAAATTGAATACACAATCAACAGATTTCTCATCACTTTTATCGTCCAGTTCTCCCTCATCATCTGAACATTCAGCGAATCAAAGACCTTTGACACTTTCAATAACAAACCTTAAAAATGACTCTTACTGCGGAAATGTGAATTTTCACCCTTTCGATAACCCAAATAATAGTCAAAATTACACAAGTCACCATCTGAGAAAGCATAACAATAAGCACACTCTCTCATACCGGCACCTCCATCAGCACAGCCATTACCAGCAGTCGTCAATCAATACGATTCAATCTCCCACCAATTCAACCTTTTCACCTCACCACAATTCACAAACAACATCATTCACCTCATCATCGTCAACATCAACCTCTTAAAACTTTTTGTTTAAATTGATGTTATAATATGATTATAAGAAAACTTGATTATTGCTTTTCGACAGATTTTAACTCAATCAATTGAGATAATTTACCAAATAAAATTGCAAAAATTACCATTTAATTCTTTCATATTGGTTAATGTTGTTTTGTTAATTTCAGTATTGTTTCGGGAAAAAGACTCTATTAGATTGCAAACTTGTTTCATTATCTGTTAAATTGCTCATTAACAAATTTCTAGATTGAAATCAATAAATAAGTTATTGAGAGGGAAAATAGATGGCGTTAGCTTCCTCTATTCTTCCTCTAGTTCTATTCGAGTGTAAATTCTAGTAAAAAGGTAACATAGTGCAACAAACTGGTTGTAACCATTTTAAATGTAACAACCAGGTACCACCTCTCACGTGGTACTTGGTCTATCCTATTGGATGATTTTTGCTGATGAAGATGATGCTGGAATTGAGAAAGAAACTTTTCTCACTCTTTACCAATAAAATGGTCATGTTTCGGCCATTTAAGAAATCATGGAGAACTAATAATAAACATGTATTATGAAATTAAAAGTGAATTTCCTCCATGATTGGCACCCTTACGGGGATACGAGTTTTCTTCTAAACAGTGATTTAATAGTTAAATTTACAGATTAAAGTTTTAAAAAGTGCAATTGGTGTTAACCAACAATTAATCTTTGTTAGTTAGAAGTGAGTTCTTTGTTTAAGGTTGAACGTTCACCATCATAGTGCTTCTGGTACTTAAGTAGCAGACTTTTAAAAGGTAATAGAAAATTTGTTTTTACCCAACACAGTGTATATTAAAGTGTTCAGTTTTAAGAAATAATAGGGTTCAACTCGACATTATATCACTTTTGGTGATCAGTTAATTAAAACTAATTACAATAGATTACTTAATAGTGATCTGGGTTATGTGTAGCTATTGTTATATCTCAATCAAGTACACACTAAACACGAAGATTAACAAAAAAAAGAGTACCCAGGTATATGGTAAGCCCAAATAACACTACAAATAAAGTACATTTGAATAAAATACTATCAAAACAATTATATATTATAAAATTTCATCCACTTGACCTGGTGAATACGGAGGTGCTTTTGAGGTCCTTGATCAATTTGTCTACATTGGTATCGCCAAGTTTTGGTATCAATTCCAACAAAATCATTAAAACATAAGTAAAACATAACTTTCTCGATAATAACAATAAATTCTATTCGAAATGTAATAAAATGACAAAGAGATAGAGAAAGAGAGATTAAGTTTATCGTTTAATTACTTTGTTTTTCTCTTCTCTCTATCTCCTACTTGAAACTCACCTTGTAGAAAAAAAATTTTTATTTAAGCGAAAAATTAAAAATTAAGAAGTGATCCTCGATCAGTGAAGATCAAAGTTTTTAGTCAACCGAATAAAATCAATTAAAAGTGTTCAAATGAATAAAAATTTCATTTTTTATGTTCCAGTGAAAAGTCAGTGTAAATATTAATTGGTTAAATCACCTAATAACTCAACAAATTGGTGATCCCGTATGAGGGATAAATTCAACCCTAATTCAACAAAAAAAGTGAAATCCCCTTTTCTTTTCCCTCTCTCTTTGAAAAATTGTAAAACGAATAAATTGTTCTTTCTCAAAACCTTCTCACTATCAAAAATCAAATTTGTTGACAGCTAATCAACAATACCAAACACAAATACTTACCTGAAAATCTCTTCAAATATCAAATTGGTAAAGGTAAAACCCTTTCTTTATATATTTACACTGTTTCTTTACCTAATTCGCAATAGATCAGTGATGCAGGGTTATTCAGCTATTTTTACCGTTGTTTTTTGCGATTTTCTCAGCAACGAAGAGTCAGAGAGACACGAGACTTGAGACCTATGAGTTTGGGAGAAACACGGTCACACTTACAAGTGGAGTTGATATCAATTAGCTTAATTGTTTTTTTAATTCGTTTCTCCTTAGGAGAAATTGATGAAGAGTTATTTGAACTTAATTTTATCTCTTCACTATCTCTCTTAGAAAGATTAATTTTATTAGAGTTCTTAGAACTTCCAATTAACTCAGCAGCTTGATGATTATCAGGAGTGTAGCGAAGACTTGCAGCTCGATTAATATCAGCAAATGTTGGAATTGTTGAATATGATTTAATTTCCGATGAGCAGCTTCTTTTAACTGGACTTTTTGGCTCACTTGATGAGGGCTGGATGGAAAAACTTTTGATGCGTATCGATGTAATTATCAACCTTTTGTTTTACATAATTATTTATTTTTTGGTCAGGTACCCGCCCCTTGCTAGTTGGTTGATTAAGACTAATTATGACAATTTCATTATTAGTGAGAGTGGAGTCCAATTTGAAGCTAAGATAAAACTTTTCAATTTCAGCCAATCGAGTTGTTTTATTGCGAGCGAAGCCTTAATTGGAAATTCGTTTTCATCGATCTCTTTAAGGGCGTAGCTAATCTCTTTAGCATAATACCCTTTATTAAAACTTCTCACGTGACCCTCGTAATCAATCAAAATACACTATGGCAACTGTTCTTAGGACATTCACCATCCTGCCTGGGTCGCCATATGTCGTAGATTGAGACTGAGAAAACTCGGTAATTCACTTTAATATTCGGATGTTTGAAACCGTTAGAGTTTGAATATTCCTCAACGATTCTCAGGATGTTACTTCCCGTTGCCTTAAGATTGATAAAAATAACCAAGTGGCAATTTAATATTTATTACCCAAAATCAAATATTTATTGTGATTAAATGACTACCTCTTGAACTGACAAAACCAAATTAACTGCGAGTCTCAAAACGGTACATATGAAGGTGATCAAGCATAAGATTAAATATGGGGAACACAAATGGGAACAAAAAAAACAAGGTAACTTAATTAAAGTTAATTAATTAAGACAAGGTTATCATGAGATACAATAATTTCTCTAAGAGAAATTTAACACAAATTAATCTTAGATTAATAAAAATATTGATCTAATTTTCCTAAGGAAAATTCTCTCTTTTATACCCATTTTAAAATATTATTAATAACTAATTACCTTTGGTTAATTGTTACAATTTAATGGGAGAGAGACCAAATTATTCATTTGATTAATTGAGATTACGGTTGATAATTAATCAATGGCAATTGTTGTAGTTGAATTGAAATTATAAGTTAATTAAAAAGAATTAATTAAATTGAGGTTAATTAATGGGTTATTGCTTTTGAAAATAATTTTCTGATTAGTTACTCATCTTTGGTTATGAGAGATGATGAAATAACTAATTTTGTCTTTCCCTCTATGGGTTAGATAAGTAACTGTTTTGGAGAGTGAGTTGAAATTTCACTTCACCAAAGTACAAATAATTTGCAACAATAAACAAAATGCAAAAACTAAATATAAAATTGAGTTTCACTAGTAAATTGTGATATCAATAATCATGTGATATTGATAATCACTGTTACAGTGATTGTTAAGTGGTCATCAATTTGCTTCTGCAATCTTCAATTGCCCTATTCTTACGTACAGTTAGGTCAACTTTTAGTACAGGTAGATACAGTTATTGTTCACCAATTAGATGAAAATAAAGTTATTTAAATAATAGCTCTCTTTAACTGTGAAGCGCAAGAAATTCAATCAATCAAATTAATTACCGAATCCAGTGTTTTATTATAATTAACGATATTGAAGGAGAACCTTCAAGGAAATTTTTATATTGTTTTTTGTTTTAGTTAGTTAACAATAAGACAATAAGATGCAAGAAATTTTGTAAACAAAAAAAATAGAAAAATTTCCTCGAGGCTCCTTGTCATTGTTCGCTATTATCAATTGATTTTAATTGTTTACAGTGTTAACTAGAACGTTAGACAATAAAAAGATGCTTGTTCAAATAATCAAATTAAAAACATTATCATAGAAAAATTTTTTTTGGTTCAACTTTAAACTCTTTTAAGTTTAGTTCGATCTATCATCCAATGTTTGAAAGTTCATTCAGTCAACAGTCATTTCACGTAAGTGTTTTTCATAAATATTCCATAAGCTGAACTATGGCCATTGTGGTGGAGAACCTTCAATATCGCTAATTATAATAAAACTCTGTGGCTATATTCTAGAACAAGAACCCTGGAATATCGACTCCAAGTTTCTTGTGCGTAATCTTGGCACACATAGCAATGCACATGTTGATGGAATGAGAGCGAGCAAAAAGATGCGGAGCGAGAATCAAATTTACTTAATTCAAATCACGTTAATATTATAGGTTAAGTTTTGGGTCCGTCATCTCGCTCCTCAAAATTTATAAGCTAACATGTGCTGCCTGTACTAATTATTCTTATTATTAGAATAGACGTTCAAATTGTAACAGGTTCGATTTCGAGATGAACAATTTAGCGAACAATTTGAAGGTTGATTTGAGGTTTGAATGAAGAACCAAGGATCCAATTTATTAATAAAGAAGAAAATGACCAAGAGATAGAACCATCAATAACCCTTCCTCATCGTGGGCTCCAATGTAACAGGTTCGATTTCGAGGTGAACAATTTAACTTTTATTTGAATAACTTTAAACTTAGTTCGAAAACTTTTATAACTTTACGTGGGTTATTTAATTTTATTGATAAACTTGATTGTTGATTAAATAAATTTGATTAGAATAAGGTATTCGATAGAATGGAGATAGAGAGAGAGAAGTTAACTTCGAAATTGAAGTTTTTCTTCTGAAAGGTTTTAACTTAATGAATTTTTAGATCATTCTCATTTTCTTTTATATATTTCTTACAAGGGAACTTCATGAAAAGTCAAATCGATAATGACCGGAAAAGCAGTTTTTTGGAAACGGCGTGAGAAATTATGCGGGCCATTTTTATTCTGGCCTGCCACAACCCGATAGTTTCCGAGAAAACTGGTTTGAAAGATCGGAAGCCGTGAACATTAATTGTGTGGAATGGCAATGTTTGGTTGAAATATGCAACAATATATCGACCTATCTGTTATAAGTTCGTGTGTGCTAAAGACCGTAAGGTTAAGAACCATGGATAGGTACGGAGAAAATAAAATAGTATGACTACTACCATAGAGTAAATTGTCAGTTAGAAAGCGTGAGGTTAAGAACCATGGAT